TTTCAGGCTTCTTCCTTCCAATTGCTTAAATTGGAAAATTTACTGCGATGATCATTCTTCACTTTCATCTACAACCGCAGTTCGAATATGAAATATTTCATATATTCTTCACATTAAAGATATCTCTGTTCAATTATTTGCAAAATGGTGTTAACTTGTAAGAATCGTTACAAGCTTGTTGCATGCAAATTATATTAAGAAAATCTAATAACTAGATTTTCTACAAATAAACAAAACCGACTTTAAAAGGCCTGTTTATATTTATTTATGTTGCCATGGCAACTGCGTCAGCTTAACCATCAAAAAACCAAAGTTTGTATTGTTAACTTGCTTGCTGCCATTTTTGGCGACCGATGGATCAAGGGTTTTAGAGGAAAAGGGGAATAAAACACCACCTTAATTGAGACCTAAATAGTCCCTATTGCATTTGAGCCTGCGGTCAAACATTGCTTTGTGGAAAAACAACAACTATAACAAAAACAAAACATAAACGCTGTTAAAGGTCAATACAAAGAAAATCGACCCTTCACCTTGCATGCATAACATAACTGTAGTTACAGCTATTGCTACCAGTCCCTTTTAAAACGAAATCAAATTAACACCGGCATCATTTCAGCACGTATAAAATTAAGTTCATTAAATGGCGGTTTTGTTGTTGTTGTTGTTGTCGTTGTTGTTGTTGTTTTCTGTGTGTAGCGTATACATTATTTTTCTTTCTTTAATTTTGAATGCCTTTTACATTTAGGTCACATTACTTCAAATGTCCTAAAAGCCATCAACGACTTTCACAGCAAGACCTGCATACGTTTTGTTCAGTATCGCGGATATCACAGAGACTACATTGAGTTTTCTAACACCTATGGGTAAGTGGCAAGAAAACATGTAATTACTGATCTTCAATGATCCAAGACTGATCTTTAATAATCCATTTTTATATCGCAATGGATCATGACATACATTAGTCAAGCAAATGAAACCGAGGCTAAGGCCCTGTCCACACTACGACGGAAAAAAATTGAAAACAAATTTTATGGTTTCAAGGGCGTCCTCGAAAAGCTCCATTTTCATGACGGCGTAATGTAGACGGTGCATAAACGAGAGACTTACCTCAATGTGAAATGTAACAGCGAGTACAGTGTTTATTTCGGGTTGCTCTATATTCCTGTTTTTGTTTTTGTTTTTGTTTTTGTTTTTTTGTTTTTGTTTTTTGTTTCGTTGTTTTCTTTGCTGTTTGTGGATTTATTTTATTTTGTTTTCTTTGCTGTTTGTGAATTTATTAGCTATTATTTAGATCTTCTGTGTGTCTCAACCTGTCTACTTGTGCACAGATGTTCATCTAAGGTTGGAAGGCACTATGCTCAGCCTGGGAAGCAGGCTATCTCCATCGGGGACGGTTGTAATAATGTGGGGACAATTATTCACGAGCTGATGCATACCGTGGGTAAGAACACGATTGAGTTAATCATCGATTACTACTCCTGGGAAATTACAACCATGAAGCACGAAGTGAAGACAGCGTTGTTAGAGTGAATTATGCACTCCTGGGAGGCGTTGTGGCCTCATAGTTAGTGCGCTTGACTCCATACCAAGCGGTCCGGATTCGAGCCCTGGGCGCGGACATTGCTTTGTGTTTTTGAGCAAGACACTTTACTCTCACTTTTCTCTCTCCATCCAGGTGAATAAATGAATACTGGCGAACTTAATGCAAAGAGTAACCCTGTGGTGGAGCGGTCCATCCAGAAGGGGATTTGGGGCGGGGGGGGGGGCAGAGGATGAAGGGAGTTAAAATACTTGTAGTCGTTTCATGCTACAGACACCGGGATAAGCTTCAGCCTGATGGGCCACATGGCTTTTATGCTGAATTTCTCTTACTTACCTTTATGCACTACTCTTTACAATTTACAACGATACATCGGAATAATCACCTGATCACGGTTTAAAGTGTGTTGAACAATAATTATCAGTTATCTACTGACTTAGTAATTGTCTTAGAAGAGCAGCAAACAGTACAATAAGATTGCAATTATATTTAAAGGACAAACAAACAAACAAACAAACAAAAAAACAGTAGTTGAGATCACAGTCCACACACCCTGTAGATCTTAATTTCCCTAGCTTTTTTCATTGTTTTTATACATGTAACTCATTCTGTTTTCTGTGGTAGGCTTTTTTCACGAACAATCACGAAGTGACCGAGATAAGTACGTGAAGATATATTGGGAGAACATTCTGGATGGTAAGGAGGGAAATACTCTTCTTTGCTGAAACATACTTTTAAGGACGTTCGCACCAAAATTTTCCATTCAGATGATGAGTTACTTGTGTCGGAAATGCACAAAAATGGGGGTCACCGACTTCGTTATAGAGATAAAGTGTGTGGAAAACTACCCTGATTTGAAAATGACGCACACAATTCAGCATGGTCTACAGGGGTTTATAGTTAAAAATATCGATGGTGAGTCAACGGAGGCAAACCATCTTAGTCATATTTTGTGGAAGTGGGTCTGCTGCGTAAATAATTACAAATGTTACCAACGTTTTCAAAAAACTTAAACCTGCAAGAGGCATTTCAAACCAGCGAAGAACTAAAAAGAAGGGAATTCGATGGTGCATTTTGGAAAAAAATTCAGACTTCTAGTCCATACATTTTCTTCATTTTTTCACTAAACGTAGAAACTCGGCAGGGAAAATGATCCATAAAAAATGGGGGTCACCGAACGTCGAAGATCGTTTAATCCAGGAAAAGCGTTAACAATGGCCATCTGCCCTATCATTGTTTATTTTCTTACTTAGCGCGCGCGCTCATGCATGACGGCGTATGGATTTGCGTGCGCAGTAAGGATGCGCAGAAACAATTAGCGCGAACGTCCTTAAGGTCATTCCACTGAAATAGAATGTGCATTGAGTTTTTTGTGAAACTTTGCCTATTGATTGTTTATGGTATAGGAACTTAAATTTTGAAACAAAAATTAGGGGTCCCCATGTTTGTTTAGGAGCAACAGCACCTTGTTTATACCCAATAAATCCTTAATTTTAATAGCACCATGATTATAGTCACGATTGCTTGGTAAATTCACATTTCCGACGATTGTTTTTTGTTCTACACTGAGAATTGGTCCATATTTATTTTACACAGAGAAATTTATTACTCAATTCAAAACAACAGAAAAAAATTATAAGTCACCGGACTCGTTTGCGAGAAAATAACGATTTACCTCCATGGCGAGGTCCAACCGTAAAGAAAAAGCCGCCATTTTTTAATGCGCGCGCGCTAATCAGGCGTGAAATTATGCGCAGTAGGGATGCGCAATGCAATACTGGGGAATGATTTTAAGCAAGAGGGAGGTGCGGTGTCCTCATGTTTAGTGCGCTCGACTCCAGATCGAGCGATTCGGGTTCGAGCCCGCAGTGCTTCTCTCCACCTAAGTGTATAATTGGGTACCAGCAAATTTAATGCTGGAAGTAACTCGTCGATAGACTAGCATCTCGTACAGGGGGGATTAGAAATGCTCCCAGTCGCTCCGTGGTACTGTAACCGGAGATAAGAGCCGGCCTGATGGGCATGGGCTCCTATGCAGACTTTACTTTCAAGTAAAGAGAGAAACATCCATCGCCAGTAACGGCCTGTTAAGACACCTGTGATAACTTGCATGTGTATATTTAATGATTTCCACACTGTTACAAGTCATAAGCAAAAGGTTATATATTTTCTTGAGCAAAATGCAGGGGGAGATCTCTTACTTTACTTCAGGGGGGGAAGGATCTCTGTTTTTTACTGACACTCCCTTATACCATAAATTCTGTTACAAGATGTTAGTGAGCATCTTGAGCATTTTGTACTAATAGTAAGGATTGCGATCAATTTGGTATTTCCAGATATAATTTCTAACGTTTTTGATAAAAGCTACAATGTATCTTTTTCTAATAAGGTCAATCAGACCAGTTTGACAAGTACAGTTGGAGAACGATCGATGAATTGGGCGTGTCTTACGACTATCAGTCAATTATGCACTATGATCGACTGGCATTTACTAAAAACGGCCTACCAACTATACTAGCTATTGGGAACGAGAACATGGAGTTCAAGAGTCCGGATTTCAAGCTCAGTACGAGAGACGCAGTGGAAATAAACGCTTTGTACGACTGTCACAAAAGTAAGTGCTAGAATCGTTCAAGTTACGGTTTTGCTAACTGTGTTCGGATCTTAGAAACGGACATTAGTGGTTTTCGTTTGATTTATAAGTAGTTGTTAAGACATTGATAATAAACTAAGTAGGCAGCGTGTCCGAGTGGTTAAAGCGCAAGATTTGAAATTTGTAGGTCCCAAGTTCAAATCCCGTTCTGACCGCTAGCAGATGTTGTTCTCGGTAGCCCCGAGTCCAACTTCTCGGCTGCGCTTGTAAATAGCCAACTGGTCTGCCTCCTGCCAGTTGGGATTCTTAACCTAGTTATGTTTATATGAATATGTATTTACCATTGTTTGTTTACGTTGGTCCTGAAAAGCCCCAATGGGGAGTGGCCAATTACGTATACATACACATACATACATACCAGGTAGAGAATTATGAAAGAGAAACACGAATTACTCTCTCTAATCCAAGAGTAACATAGGTCAATTATGTTTAAGTATAAATCTACTAGCGTTCTATCACGAATGCCGTTCTCTGATTGGTTACGCTACTCACTATCTATTTTGTGATAGATAGTGAGTAGCGTAGCAGTGTGCGCTTGTTAACAAAATGACGGCCGCTTGGCATTTTCGAAGTGTCTGTGAGGATTTAGATAAAGTTTTGAACGACTAGTAGATTTATACTAAAACAATGAGATTATTCGCTCCCGATTTCTATGCGTGNTTGGAAAATTCAGATAAATTACAAGTCTTGAATTTGGTGTAAAAAAATATTTTTGGACAAAATAGGCCATTGAAGGTCTGCAGTAACCTTAAAGTAAACAGGATTTTGCCAGTAACCATGTCTCACTTAAGTGAAATTGGGCAAAATACTCTTGGCCATCTTGGCATTGTCAGGTTGATTGTCTAAAATAAATGTCAAAATCATGTGTGATGATTTTTGCATAATTGTTTATACAGCTGTTTCATAACGTTAACTGAACAAGGACCATATCCAATTTACCATTACCCAAAATGCACTGCCGACTTACTATTATTACACATATATTCATAACCAACACCAATGACTAGGTGTTAATCTTGGACTGACTGGTGAATATGTTGAACTCTCATTTACGATTTCGGTTTTCAACAGGCTGTTGTTATTCTTTGACATTACATCATGTACAAGTTAGTAAAATAATAATATTCCGGTTCCAATCAAAATCAGTTATTATCCATTTTAAAATTTATAAACAGTGTGTGTGAACAACCTGCTATTTGATTTTTGTCTTTTTTTCTATTTCGAACAGTCTGAACAGGCTCTACCCTTGGCTGAGATCATTTTATTGTGTTCTTGGGCAAGACACTTTACTTTCACAGTGCCTCTCTCCACTCAGGTGTATAAATAAGTACTAGCAAATTTATTGTTGAGGGGTAACCCTGCGATGGACTAGAATCCCATCCAGTGGGAAGCAGAAATACTCCTAGTCGCTTCATGCTACAGAAACTTGGTTCATATGCAGACTTTACTTCCACTTCTGAGTTGCCGTTTGCCTCTTTTTCAGATCGAGTACTCCTGCAAAACGTTTCATATGAAAATGACTTGATTTTCATGAGAATGAACGTACAGGTGAAATGTATTTTCATGCGAATAGTTTCGCAGAAAGACTCGTTTTGCCACAGAGGCAAAAGTCAACTTGAAATTGGCTTATTCATTCATGAACTGGCTCAGAGAACCTTTGTTTTATTATTTTCAGCTCAGTCGTATGGCTGGTCATCATGGTCGGGATGGACACCCTGTGATGACAATTGTTTTCGTACCCGTGAGAGATATTGCTACAATTCAGGGAACTTGCAATCGTGCGGTGGGAACGTAAATGTATACGGGGTGGAAGCTGAAAAGCAGAAGTGTCCCTCGTCGATATGTCCAGGTGAAAATAAACTTCACTAAATTTTTCAAGTGTAACTTTCGGAAAATTAACTCTCTGACGCCCAAGAAAAAAAGTGAAAATGCCGACCACATGCGCCACCGTGGAAAAGGGTGTGGGAATTTAATTTATTCAATTTTCACCGCGATTATATAACAAAGAAAAAAATCATAAACGATAGTACAAAATAATAGTAATATTAATAATAATTGTAATAACCACATTAATAAAAAGAAAAACCTTAGTACATAACAAGGCAGTGAGGAAGACTAGAAGGGAACTGACGAACCATACGTGCTAGTCAACCCATTATGAAAATAAAATGTATGAATATATAAAAGCTTAATCATTTAACAAGGAATGGTTGGAACCTCTGACTCCCAGGTTTTGGTTCTAATAATTAGAGAGGAGCTCACATCAGCTCAAGCCGGTTTCCATGGTGATCCTCTATCAAGATCTAATTGGGCTTTTGGCAGCTAGCTTGCTATGATAGTCAGCTTGCTCTACTCGTTGTACAAGATAAAAGTCTTCTTTTTATCAGGAAATCATATGATGTCACAAGAACCCATAACATATGTTATATTTGCTGTTGCAATTACTTTTTTACAGTTCCCGTTGATGGGCACTGGGGTCGCTGGTCGGATTGGCGACCATGCAGCAAGACATGTAATGATGGAGTTAGGACAAGATTCCGAAAGTGCAATAATCCACTGCCTGGTCAGGGCGGGAAATATTGTGTAGGCAGTTCAACGGGTGAAGAGCCTTGTATCTTAAAGAGATGCCACCTTGGTAAGCAAAAGTTCATGCAGCATTTTTAATTTAATGAATGCATGGATAAAAAGGAAATGTGGTCATTTTATGATGGTTATCCCATTTGATGGTTATCCCAATTTTTTACGCTCTAATGTATAATTATATTAATAGTTTAACTTTTGTTTAATTAAATCAACTTGTAATTTAGCTGCCATTTTGTGCGACTTATCTAAAAACCAGACGCATAGATAAAAATTAATTTCTTGTAGTATTTTTGCTTGTGTTGATAACTAAACTGCAATAATCCAGAAATTCCAGTTTATATCTTCTGAACTTCATGGATACCATTTTTCATCCAGATAAATAATTCTTTATTGTATAAAGAATGCTATATTTTTCATCTCCTTCCTCGATGTTGCCGTAATTAAAAATTTTATCTCTTCGATGACCAGGGGCTGGGATAAAAACTAGCGTCACAATGGCAGTCGGTGCCTTTACTAATCTACTACTATAAATGTACATGAATTGAGGTCATGAAGCAATTCTGATATGGACTAATAATTATGCTAGGTACATATATGTGCATATCCTTGTCTTTATCAAGATTGAGTGAAATCTAGTCATGGTATCATCCAAACATTACTTTGAAACAGAAAACTGCCTCAGTAACTAAGGTTTTATCGTTTAATACTGTCCGATTATATTATTCCTTTTTCAACAGACAAAGACGATGTTGACTTCGAAAATTTCCGTCTTGGGATGTGGAAGAATTCGAATATAGATAAGTTGAACTGGGGATTTAACAGTGGGTACACTCAAACTGCGGAAACAGGTCCCAGTACAGATCACACAAATGGTCGAGGTACTTTGTAATTCCCTTTCCTTTCTTTTGAGTGTTTTTTTTCCTTATTGATAACCTTCTCCCTTCGTTCCTTCCTTAATTCCTTCCTTCCTTCCTTCCTTAATTCCATCCTTAATTCCTTCCTTAATTCCTTCCTTAATCCCTTCCTTAATTCCTTCCTTAATTCCTTCCTTCCTTAATCCCTTCCTTTCTTCCTTTCTTCCTTCCTTCCATCCTTCCTTCCCTGTTTCCTTTCACACCTCTAGCAATTCTGTAGTAAAAGGATGCAACAAAAGGCTAAGGGGCTTGATATTTTGTCATTTTTTGCTATGAGCTGCGTCATTTCGTTAATGAGGCAGGCTAGCCTTTTGTAGATCAAGTCCTTGTATTGTTCGATCCACAAATTTTGAAAGAGCTAATTAAACAATACACAATATGTGAGGAAAAAACGATTCCACAAAACTGCACTGCATTGATTGCATTTTATTGTATTATTGATTTTGTTGCGTTGTATTGTATTGCATTACATTGTATTACATTG